CCCCAAAACCCCAAAACCCCAAAACCCCAAAACCCCGTTGGTTATTTTTAATGACTTTTTTAAAGAAGGAGGCAGGAATAAACATTTTAATTTAATTGAATAAAATGAGTGTGTAGCAGCAGAATCTAGGAAAAATAGCTTCACCTTGCTATAGCCCTTATATTCAGCAAAGATAGGAGGACGAGGTTATTATTCAAGAGCAAATAATACAAGAAACTCTCCTCACAGAAAACACTAATGAGCTTGAACAATAGGAGTTAGAGCAGAAATAAAAAGAACTAGAGAAGGAAATGCAGGAAGAAGAAGATTTTGCCTTGTTTGAAAAAGCTATGCTAACTAATCAACGGAAAATCAATCACACAAAGTAGAGATTCTATTCTCAATCGTAATTATTCAATTAGAAATATTAACTCATTATGTAGATAGTAGCTTGACTCAATGACCGATCAAAAATTAACTTATCACAGACTAGGTCTATTAGTGTATGATTCAAAGGCAAACATAAAAGTAGTAGATTCTCCATTTAAAGAATTATCACAAACATAAGTAGATGCATTCTATGCCACCAATTACTATACTGTCACAGATGAACCCAAGGCCAATAAACTTAAATTTGTAAAAAAACTAGCACCGAACGTTTAGGTAGAAAACTGTTCTAAGATTGAAGCCAAAATTTTTTAAAAGCTCCCTTCATTCTCTAAGAAAAAGTAGTATAAAAAAGAATTCGAGTTAAGAATCCCCAGCTCAGATTCGATTGTTCTTTTCAACTCCAGATTTGAGAGCGGCAATTTAGGTCAGGCAATTAGATAATCCGATGGAGATTATATGCTTTTTCTAGAATTTGATACTAATTCGCATAACCATTCATAATGGTTTTACTTTTCTGCAATGGGTAGAAGACGAGGGTAATCAATCAAATTTACTATAATAAATCTGATGAAAGTGGACTCTTTGTACAATAAAGGGATGTAAATATGTACATTTTCTTAAAAGAAATATGAGACCTCAGGATAGGGATGGCATCGCAGCGGCTACAACATTAAATATTCAAGAAATAAATACAACACAGCTTATATTCCTACAAAAGAAGTAAGTACTTACATTTATCTAAAACTTTATTACTTATAAATTGATATTAACGATAAGTATAGTTAGATATGGTTGATGATGATGAGAGCTAGGAAGAAGGGGAGGATTAGGAGGAAAAGACAAGGGTCCATTACTCTTTGACTTTCTAATATACATTTGAGCATGATAACGACACAGTGTTTTTCAGTCATTTTTACCCTTTCACTCATAGAGATTTAAAAAAATCTCTAGGTCAAATCATGGATTTACCCAAGATGTCTAATATAATGAGAATTGACAATCTCTGTGATACTCTAGGTGGAAATCCTTGCTACATATTAACAATCACTTAAAACATTAAGACATATTTGACATCAGAGGATGAATAGCAGCTGTTAAAGAAATCAGATGCAGCAAGGGCTATGGTAAAAAAGAAACTAGAGATATACGAGGCTAGATAAAAAGTTAGAGAGGTCATATTATAAAATAATTAGCTCCAAAAATTGTAACAGCAGCACTTGAAAGATCAACCAAACATTCAAGATGCAGATGGAGCTGAGTAAGTACACAGGACACCTTCAGTGAATACAAGCCAGAATCTGGTGCAAATAGTTGACTATGGCTTCAACCCATATATGAATTAATATCTTAACGACCACAAAAAGAAAAGGGCGATTGTACTAACGGCTAGAGTGCATCCAGGTGAATCTAATTCATCTTTTATTATGGATGGCATAATCAGATTCCTAACTAGCAATTGCAAAGAAGCCAAAATACTCAGACAGAACTACATCTTTAAGATAGTACCAATGTTGAATCCTGATGGAGTGATATACGGTAATTACAGATGTTCATTATTAGGAGTTGATCTAAACAGAAGATGGATTAATCCCTCTAAAATCCTGCACCCAACAATCCACTACACTAAGCAGATTATAAAGATGTTAGATTTGGACAGGACTATTGATCTTTACACAGATATACATGGGCATTCTAGAAAGTATAATGTATTCATGTATGGGTGTGCATTTCCTGAGATATCGATTGACTCTAGAAACAATTCTATTATAAAGGTCTTGCCCTCAATACTGAATGACAGAGTGGAGGCATTTAAAATGAAGGACTGCAAGTTCGCCTTGGAAAAGGAAAAGGAGTCTACCGCTAGGATTGTTCTCTTTAAGGAACTGCAAATTGTAAATAGTTATACTATGGAGGCTAGTTTCTTTGGAACTGAACCAGAAGAGGTTGTAAAGCAAGTTGAAGATAATAATGAAGAGGAGGATGAAGTATCTGGAGCCAGTGAGGATGACGATAACTCACCTAGGAAGCCAATGGAAGATTCCAAGCAGTAGCTGGATGAAAGCCACTAAAACATACAGCAGTCTCCAAATCCAGATGAGAAAAAGATCGATGACGATCCTAGATACATTCTACTAGTCAAGAAAAATGATGACCCGGATGGTCCAAAACCCTAAATAAAATTTACACCAAGAGTTTTGTAACAGATTGGTTATGACTTCTGCAGATCTCTATACCTTTTCATGAATCCTATGCATGTTAGGAAGTAAGTCAATCGTCTAATGAATGAGGCTAGAAAAAAAAGACTTGGCAACTAAGCCACTTCTCCCTAGAGAGATAAATCAAATATAGAATAAAGTACACCCATGCAAATAAATTTACAACCTACTAATCTATAAAGCAACAACAACAATATAAAAGAACCCTATTAAGCTACTACCAGTTTGAAAAGACAACCTCGCATTAATACAAATTCTAGAGAATCTCCGACTAAGGTATCAAGATTCAAGAATCTTAACAGTATAAACTAAACTCTATAACTCTAAAATTAGGAGAGAGTAGAATCTTTTAGAACCAAACTCAATCAGAAATCATTCGTAGTGAATTCCTAGAAAATCAAGAAACTACTTGATTCCAGAGATCAGAACGAAAGAGATCGTGATAGGACTATAAATGTAATAAGTACTGATAGACTACCAATAATAGAAGCCAAAGACAGTTTTATCGAAAAGGTTGATAGTTTCATCCAGTCCAAACCTTATGAATCAAGACTAAAACTAGACACTTCCTAGCAAAGATCTCTCTAAAGAGACAAAGAAGCAGAGATCATAATTTAGTAGTTAAGTCCAAATATAAGCATAATAAATCATAGAGAATAAAGTTCATAAAATAGTATAAGAAAGAATAGGAAATCTGATCTTGGAATTAATAGTTTGACTTTTAATGATAAGTACATTACCCTTAAGAGGTAAAGTGCTGTTCGGTAGCCAGCTAATCTCAAGACTAAAATATAAGAAATGATAGTAAATACACCTTTTAATGCAAAGTCTTTGGAGTAAAACCCTTCTTTAGTTGCTTTGTATCCACTCAATTCCATTACATCAAATAACATCAACATTTAAAGCAATAACAACAGCAGTACAAACAAATCATTTATGGTAATCAACTCAAAGATAGACACTAACAATCATTACGTGGCACGAGACAGATACCTTAGGAATGAAAAACAGTAGCAAGCTATTAGTGCGTAGCAGAGAAGCATAAACATTCACAAGCAGCTAAGCTCTAATTCAGATGGTATCGCTAAATTTGCAGGCTCACTTAATAAAAAGAACTCATTTATTAACTTCCCCTTTTCAATGATGCCAGATTCATCCATCTTCAATCAGAGTTTAACTACTAATAACGATGATATATCTCCTTATAACAGTAATACTCATAATTCCATCGTTTATCAGAAGAAATCCTAATTGGAATAGCCTGGTCTTGGAAGCTTTGGAAATCACTTCTAAGTTAGCAATATGGATCCTACTCATGTTTACATTAAGTCTTAGAAAGTGTAAAGGGTGTCGATTAATCTTGGTAATCTTAGTGTCAAATTGCCATCAATTAAACTAAAGAATGAACAGCAGCAGAATGCCTTTAACCCTAAGTTTTTCTCAAATCACTAGTCAAAGGATTCATTTGAAGACACCTAGGGATAGATACCATCAATAAACCTAAATGAACTACTGAAATCCAGAATCGAAGACAAATCCAAAAGTGTCAATAAGAACTTCAAGCCTAAAAGATGATTATTGGTAGCTGAACGCAGACAGAGTCTGTACTGAAATGATGGATATTGGATTGTTCGAGTTCTGCATTGTAAAAATTATCAATTGTAAATCATTGAAACATTTATTACTTTAGAGAATATGCTCAAATGTTGATGAGTTAAGATTATTTATAAGTTATAGTATTATATTCTTTAATTTCTAACATCATTTACTTCTAACATAGCTTTTAATTTGCATTCTCGGGGTTTTGGGGTTTTGGGGTTTTGGGG